AGAAGCTGGTAGTGGGCAGCCTTCTTGAACTGATACAGTCCATTTGATGCAGCTACACCAGCAGCACAGTTAAGGTTGAAGCTCCAGGATTATGTCCCAGTGACAGTGAAGGAAAGGTTGACTTATTTCAAGTCAGGATAGTAAGTGGCTTCAAGGGAACTTGCAGGTGATAGTGTTCCCATGGATCCACTGTCCTCAAATTTCTAGATGGTGGAGAGTTTGGAAGGTGCTTTGGCAAGAGCCTTGGTGAATTTCTGCAGTGCATCTTGTAACAACAGCTCTTGTAGTGGAGACAGTGAATGTTTGAGGATGTTTTGCCAATCAAGGAACTTGGAGGGTATCTGGCCTTAGTGTTGTTGGAGCTGCACACATCCAAGCAAGTGGGGAGTATTCTGTCACTCTTGACTTGTGCCTTGTATTCAGCAGACAGGTTCTGGGGAATCAGGAGGGGAGTTGCTCACCACCAGACTCCCAGCATCTGACTTGCTTTTGAAATCACTATTTACGTGGCTTTGTCAGATCAGTTTATGGTCAACCGTAACTCCTACTTAATTGTGGGGAATTCACCAATGGTAATTCCATTGACTGTCAAGGGGCGATGGCTAGATTCTCTCTAATAGCAGATGGCCATTGCCAGGCACTTCTGTGACAGAAATGTTACTTGTCGCTTGGAATATAGCCAGGATTAGACTGACAAGTCTTGTTGCACTTGGATATGAACTGCTTCGGAAGCGTGAATGGTGCTTAACATTGTGCAATCATCAGTGAACATCCCTATTTCTGACTTTATGATGGAGGGAAGGTCATTGATAAAGGAGCTGAGTGGTTAGGCATAAGAGATACCGTTGTGAAACTCCTACAAGAGTTGTCCTGAACCTGTACATTAACTGCTATTTTGCTAAGGCTCCTTGAGATCACACACTGTCAAGTGTGACCTTAATGGCAAGGACAGTCACTCTTACCTCACAATGGATTTCAGCTTTTGTCCACATTTGAACTAAGGCTGTAATGAGGCTAGGCACTGAATGGTGCTAGTGGAACCCAAGCTGAGCATCTGCGAGCAAGTTATTGCTAAGGAAGTGCTACTTGAAAGCATTATGTCCTCTTCCATAACTTCTCTGGTTTTAGAGGATAAACTGATGGGGCAATAATTGTCAGGTTGGATGCTAGTATTGTAGCTACACAGGACAGCTTGGCTAGGCCACTGCAAATTCTTGAGCACAGGTCTTCAGCTCTATTGCTGGGATGTTGCCAGGGTCCACATCCTTTGCAGTTTCCAGTGCCTTCTGCCATTTCTTGCTATCACTTGGAGTGAATCAAATTGGCTGAAGACTGGCATCTGTGATATTGGGGTCGTCCACATGCTGAGATGGCTCAGCTAGTCGGCACATCTGGTTGAAAATTTTTCTAACACTTCAGCCTTATCTTTTGCACTGATGTGCTGCATTTTCTCACACCGTGGATTGGGATATTTTTGTAGCCTTCCCCTCCAACAAGTTGTTTCATTGGCAATATCCACTCATGAGTTATTGTAGAGATTAGATGAGACGTGATTTTTTTGAGCAATCACTTAGCTCTGTCACTTTCTCCTCATGCTGTCTGGCATGGTAATAGTCCTATGTCATGACTTCACTAGGTTGACACCTCATTTTTAGGTATGCCTAATGCTGCTCCTGGCATGCACTCCTGCACATTTCATTTAACCAAGATTGATCCCTTGGCTTGATGGTAATATTCAGTAGGGCTTAGCCAGGCCATGAGCCTGCAGATTGAATTTGAGTATACTTTTCTTGTGACTGATGACCCACAGCCCTCATGTTTGCCCAATAGTTAGTTGCTAGGTCTGTTCAAAACCTATCCCAATTAGCACTTAAAGTGTCTCCATATTACTAAGAGAAAGCATCAACTGAGAATTGTTAAGCACTTAACATGTATTAGCTTTTGAAGAATAGTAAATCCAGGCACAGTAGCATTTTGACTAGATTACTGGATTTAACAAATAATGTGTTCAGACCCTTCCAAGGCAGATGGGGAATTTAAATGCATTTAAATCCATGTGTTAAATAAATTTAAAACATAAACTGATACAGTAACAGTAACCACAAAACCACCATATTGTTTTTTTTAAAGCAACCCAATCTGGTTGACTAACATCCTTTAGGGGAGAAAGTCTTCTGCCTCTAACAATGCCTACGTGATATTGCAAAACCACAACAATGTGATTAACTCGTCGCTCCTCTCTGAATTGCCTGGGAAGCCACTCAATGTCCACAAAACAACTCATTCCCTGGACTGACCTATCCCCTTCCTAACTCCCTACCTACACTCACCTTTACTGGATCCATCCCCGCCTCCTCGACCTGTCTGTTTCCTCTCCACCTATCCTCTCCTCTATCCATCTTCTATCCGCCTCCCCCTCTCTCCCTATTTATTTCGGAACACCCTTCCCCTCCCCCTTTTCTGATGAAGGGTCGAGGCCCGAAACGTCAGCCTTTCTGCTCCTATGATGCTGCTTGGCGTGCTGTGTTCATCCAGCCCTGCACCTTGTTGTCTCATTATCAGCTCCTCAGGCTATTAAGCAGTCTATGACTGAACACAACAAGGCCTGTGCAACATTCTGACTGGCTGCTAAGGGCAAGTAACATGTTCACCACACAAGTGACAATTTCCACAACAGTCCAATCATCTTCTCTGGACTTACAATGACATTTCCATGTTGAATGCCTCACCATTAGAAGGTGGCCAGAAATTTAACTGGACCAGTCACATAAAGTTTGAAACTTCCAGAGTAATTCACAGCGTGTGTATTTTATGACAAATGATTCAACTCCTCACTCTCCATAGCATCCAAATACAACATTCAAATCAGCCAAGAGAAAGCAGTTAACACAAAGGACCCTCTCAACAATACAACAGAATGGTGAGCAAGTCATTTATTCAACCACTAGGAAGTATTCTGCTCCACTGGGACAGCATATTCCAATATGTGGTTTGCAAAAGCAAACAAACAGCAGTTGAAAATAGTTTGTGTCAGGACCCCTGATTCTGCTGCCAGATATGTAAAAGAGAGGGCTTTTAAAAAATGTTAATTTCACTACAGCAAACAAGCTTGTCATTGGCCAACCAAAAGAATCATTCACACCCAATTTGTGAATCAAAGCACTCCTTGTGGCCTCAAAGGACATCTTACTGTAACGTGATCTCTTTGATAACCTTACCCAAACACTAACACAATTAAAATAACAACTATTTGTAATAACATAATCAGTACTGATAAATATATCAAGATAACAGGTTTGGAATCCTACCGAGTTTGAGGTTTAATGGGTTTTAAGTATGGCTAGCGTGATATTACACACAGATGTTTGCAAACAAAGCAACATTCTTTTGCCTTTGACTCCTTGTCCATTGGTCCCAGAGGGTTGTTGTGGATCATTTTATTGATTTTATCAACAAAGTAGGCTTCAGGTAATAGCACAGCCAAACACAGATAAACCTTGCACAGAGAACACTCTAAATAAAATATTAATAATTTGATTAATGGAATTTCACATAGTATTCCAGAATGCATTTAAGACATTGTTGATACTTCAATTGCATAACTCATTGCAGTCAATGCTTTCCAAAATGAAGCTGGGATTAATTGGCCCCATTTTCAAAGTCTCAGTCTCTCATCTGAAGGCACTGGGTCATACTGACAGCCGTAACTAACACGAAGCAGCCACCTGTGGAAAAAAAAGCAACTTCAAAAGGCACTACATGTTCATTGAGGGCAAGATCAAACTTCACTGATGTTTCCCTCCCTTGCTCAAACAGTTAAGGAGAGCAGTGGGCATCTGTATCCCAGCAACAATTACTGCTTTCACAAGGGAAAGAGCAAATGTGTTGGTTAAAATAACAGACTAGCATTTACATAATTTACAGAGAGACTTCACAAGTTGCCCCAAAGTGATTTATAGCCAATTAAGTACCACTTGAATAAAGTCACCGATACAACCGTTGAAACACTGTCATCCAGTTTGTGCAGTAAGCTTCCAAAAGCTTAAATGATATATTGACCAGCCTATCTGCAATGAAATAATGACTGAGGGATAAATAGCGGCAAGGACACCAGATACTACATTGCTCTCCTTTGAAAATGTGATGAAACTTTTAATATCCACCTGAGGGAACAAACATGGGCTTGGTGTAAAGTTTCATCCAAATGACAGCACCTTCAACAATCTGACTTAGAGATAAGCATCTTAACCACTGAGCCACAACTGACACAAAGAAGAAGGTTGCAAAGGAAACTACGATGTTTAAAAATATCCTATTGACTAGTCAGTAGCTGCACCTCTCTCATCAATGGTCTAACTGCTCCGGCGATAACAAATACCAACTCATATGCCTGGTAACACAGCCTTCTACCAATAAAGGGAAAACAAACCCAGCTTCCCCAGCAAACCTGAGCCACACTCCATTTCTGGAGCATTATGAACTGACACGTCAACATAGCCATGGAATCTCCTGGGAGACAGGAAATCCCAAGGTCAACATGGGAAATGCATTCTGTAAACTGCCTCCCCTGTGCCTTCAAGCAATCAAAACCAATCAAACACATGGCTGTCCATATAACCTGCTCTCATTCAGTTAAGAACCAGTCCAGCTCCATGCTGAGCATCAGGAATTTGAAAACATGAAGACCACAACATTCTATGATGCCACAAGATATAAAAAATTAAATTTATTTAAGACTAAGAAAGACTAGCAAATATGGCTAGGGTGTAAACATGGGAGTCTTATATCCACTCACGATCAAAAATTGGATCTGGTTACCTCTGCATTTAATGGATAATAAAAAAACAGTACAGAGGATGAAATTTACCTGCCAAACTTTAAAGTAAATTCACATGGTAGAAATGTAAGTCAACGATCAAACCACCTGCCATTTTGGTTTGAGGAAGAACTAATGAAGGAGAATAAAGATAAAATTAAAAACTCAAAAAATTCACACAGTATTGTTACGAATAATCTTTATTTAAAAATTAGACACAAAATATGACAATTATCACCTTGGACAACACAAGAAAAGGGAGCAGTCACCAAATGCAACTTTGCACTGATGAGAATGTCAACATTTTTTTGACCCCAGTCTTAAACTCATGTTCAGTGAAAACATGACACACTTACAAGACAATTTATTTCAGTTTCATTCAACGTTAAGAAATTATAGGAGTCCCTTCACACCAACTTAGCCTAGATTATAATGAAAAAGACAATACTTGGGAGGTACATTGACAAAGAAGTTACAATGTACTGACACAACACCGTTGTAATGCTTAAGAATTAGACCATTTCCAAGATCTCTCTATCATGTGGATTATTTATTAATGTTGGACAAGGTGGATTGATATTTGTTGAGCTGGACAGTTCAAATTCTGGTTTGAAAGACACAGGCTCAATACTAAAATGGATATCAGTGTTACAAAAATTACTTGAGTTCATTACTGCAGTAACAACATAAGAGTTTATGTGGTGTGCAGATCTCATAATTTCAGTAGCAACTCTAAAGCAGAACAATGAGATGGGAGGTTACTGACAATTTTAATGTTTCTTGCCTGTTAACAAATGCTCACTTAACAAAAATGGAATGCAAATTTAAGTACTAGTAAAACAGCAGGAGTTTTAATTAATCTTGAAGAAAATCCAGGGGCAAGTTAATGGCAGTGAAACAACTCCTGGTTTGGTTTCTGTCACAAGTTTACCTGACACATCTAACTGCACAACATCTAGCCAGGTAGCACTGGAAACTTGCAACTTGAGTATTCTGGTTTCTTCTTGACATTTATGATTCCCCAGGTTCCATAATGACTGTTAGTTCAGGAATTGTGGTGTACACGGCCTGGATAATCCAGTCTCAATTGTTTATGTTCGTTGGCCAACTCTTTTGACATTATGCAGAGGATTCAGACCTGATCAGCCCTTATCATGTGTTGTGCTATGGTGAAACATACTCGGCTGTGGATCAGTATGCCATTTCCTGGTTCTGGATTAGACACCATCGGTCATAAGCCTGGGCAGCTTCTAGTGAAGACTCAAATTAGATAACTACTTATTATTTGTGTATTGCATTTGCAACATATTTTGACACGACTGTAGATGGGACTGTAGAATACAACAGGGAGATAAAGGCAATGAAAACAATACCAGATTGATCTCCACAAATGTATTCAAAATTTGGTTAAGCACTTTACTGCTACCAGGTGTTGAATGCTCAACAGTAGAAAAAAAAAGTTTACATTTTATGGCTGCTCTCTCACACGACATTTATAAAATTAGTACTTTTACGTTTCGACCACATCAAGGCACAAAGGAGATTTGCACCTAACATGCAATTAAGATCCTAGTTAAAAAAAAATACTGTGCCAAAATGAATAAAAGCTTTTAACAAAACTTCGATGCCACTTCCTTTAAGCTATATACACATATCCAACATTATGAATTACTTGACTGCAGTAAAAAGGGCAGCCTTGATCTACATTTTCACTCAGCAATTAAACCATATTGGGGTTTCTATACCTCGTCACTGTGTGATTTGCAGTGTTTTAACAACAACTTCTATTCATTAGACAGGATTTATTCTATGGAAGTGCTGGTGGTAATTCTGAAGTCCATGTTACCTAACTATCCACAATAGCTGACAAAAATCAACCCCACCATGGCCAGGATAAAAGTGGTGATATCATTCGCTGAGTGAAAGAGTTGCAATTGTGATTGTAAAGTTACTGAGATTCATTACTTTTCATTTACAAGATCAATACTGGAGAGTCATGCACAATTTAAAAATAAATTCTTTCTCCCTTTAAAAATACATTTGGTCACAACCTGAACAAATGCACACATACAATTTTTAAACAGCAATAGGCACCATTAGAAGCTTTTTTTTTCAAACATATTAGACACAAATGATCAGCTGTTTTTAAAACATTCTTTTCCCCTGCTGTTTAATTTCATCACGGAGAAGTATTTCAAAAAAGTTCTCAATGAGCAGATTTTTGGGGGCAGAAGAGAACAGAGAGAGGCATAAGAACACCATGCATAAGGAAGGAAACCTGTGACAATCTGATCACCTATATCTGATCAACAATTTAAACATAATCCATGAGAGTTTCTGCATTGGGATAACTTTTACTTATTATCAGTTACTGAATTTTGACCTAATTTGAATGGATTATCAGCTTCATGCATTGCAGTGACATCAATGGTGGGGGTGGGGGTGGGGAGGAGAAGAGAAGCAACTGAAAAATTTCATGACTCTTCCTGTAAGATTCAGCAGTCAATATGTTTTGTGAAACAAAATTCCATACATCCAAATGAAGTCTGACACATTTAGCTTTTAATTCTGGCAAGAAGCAGGCATTGCTAAACTGCTGTACAGCTTCTGAAACCCAGGAAGTTTTAACTGCAATGCCAGAAAGACAACCACTCAACCATGATGGAGTCAGCATGCCAATGATTGCTGCTGCTTTGTGTGCAATGTTGTATTTAACAGGTCTGAACAGCAACAGTCAGCATTGCACAAAGTATTGCACCAGGAATTGTCGTTCGAGACCATAGTTCCATTTATTGAGTCATCATTCTGTTCAGAGCAACCACCACCATGCCAGAATTAAAGTACTGTAATTTGCTGAGTTGGGTTCATCCTGATTTAAGTGAGACTTTTATGAATCACAAGCACCTATACTGTTGCTTTGAAAAACTCTGTTAAGTGATATATAAAAGCAGATTAAATTATAGCTCTGCTTACATATCACTTAACACTTCCAAAGGAACAAAAGGGCCTTTTGTAACCATTTATCTGCGTTTGAAACTCAAAAATCAATAGAAATGGGTAATACCATATTTTACAAGGGCCCAGAGGTACTACAGCCAGAGCAATAAAACATTATTTATAGATTTTTCTAAATATCAAATCTATCAGTTGCTAATATTCAGAATCCTGGAGTCAATTTTAGTGAAGTTGTACTTTGCCCTGGAAATCATTCATGCTTAAATGGTAATTTAGAAATATGCCATAAATGGTGAATAGCCAGTAAATTTGCACAGCCTGCGTTTGATTGCATGGCTGTTGAAAGGTTTGATGCTGACCCATACTCACATTTAGAGGTTGGAAGAAACTTTCCTTTGTTTTTGTGGCATTACCAGAATTAACACAGTTCCAGTTATTTGCAGCTTCTGAATCATATTTATGTACAGCAATACTAATTCTCAGGGAGACAAGAAACATTCATCAATTTGATAGAACATAACTCAAATCAGAATTTAACTAAATTGTTTGGGAAAGTAAATACAAATTCCCTCCCACTTGAAAAAGAAAAGGTGTGGTGTAATTTAAATAGAAGGAATGTTGCATTTCCTCACATGTATATTGCTAGAGTCTTCACTCTGAAAACAGCCATTCATGAAGGTGATCATCATTAGATAAGATTAGTACATCTTAACAAAGGCATTGTATCTGAATCCTATTAAGCCGATCAAAAAACAGAAACCAGGCCATCACATACGTATCTCTACCCCTGTTAAGAGTGCATCTCATTGTAAAACTCAGTACAATGTATACTATGAGAAAATGTTCAATTGAGGGGAAATAAATCCATCTAGAGCAGCAGAAATTTGTTTCACAGAACATCACTGACTGAAATGCACTCCAGGGAACAGTTGTAGAGGGAGGATACCACAACTGGGCCTCAGAATTTGATATGGGGAGGGCAACTTTTCTTTGCACCTATTGATCTAGATCTGACAGCCACTCTTGAAAGTCTGGTTTATTAAAGGATAAGAATTAAAAAGTTTGTTGTCCAGTTAATTTATATCTAAATAATCTTTGTCATTGGATTTATTTCTCGTTCATTTTCAAACTTCTTAAACATGCCTGCTGTTTAATTGGGCTTTAGCACATCCAGTAGCTAACAGATAACATCAGCTCCCCCTCTAAAAATATAAACTAATAAGAAAGCAAATTTACAGCAAAACTCAAAATGCTATAATGACGGAGTAATAATATTTAAAAGAGAACTCACAATCTATGAGATCACATACAGCTTTTCTGCAAAGCTGCCTCATTCATTAGGAAAATTTCACCAGAACTCAGCGAGACCATACGATGAGACTGCAGTACAGCATACAAATCACAATCATACTTCCTGCTGATTACTTAGAGTAAGGGAATGACCACAGGGATGCCCATGATGTGCATCCTATCTACCTGAATGAAAAGGTGAATTATGATGGGAAAATGATGATACTTTTGTAGAATTGGAAGCACAACCAGACTACTTAATAACCAATACCAACAATGCAGGTTTAATTTCAAGTGCAGACAGTCGAGACAAGAGCAAACGAATCCAACTATCATTGAATCACGCCTGCACAGGAAGTACTGGTCAAAAAGCAAATGCTTTATTTGAATTCTTCGAATTGGACTGTGGCAGGAAATGAAAGTCCTGGCTGATTGGGAATGAAGGCAACTCACTGTTGATTGTGCTTTTCTTGCCCACTGATCGTAACCTTGGACTGGAGTACCGTGCTGTGTAAGGAAAAGATAATTAGATCATATGTGATTATTTTACTTAAAATAAAATCTAACTCTTTATATTTGAAACTTTATACTAAAAATATGAATGGAATTTTAAAACCCATGAGTTGGACCTAGGATCAGGTGCACAGATGAATTAGGGAATGAATTATTAACCTACTGAGCTGTTAATAGCTGTCTTCCTGTTCCATGAATCAGTGAAAAAAGGTAGACAGAACAAACATAAACCATATAGAACAGTACAGCACACCAACAGGCTCTTTGGCTCACCATGTCTGTGCTGACCACGATGCTATTCTAAACTAATCCCATCTGCCTGCACATAGTTTATTCTCTGCCTGTTCATGTATCTGTCTAAATACCTCTTAAATTATGCTATTGCACCTATTGTGTCAGCGAGTGTGCACGATTGTGTGTGTGTGAGGGAGAGAGAGAGAGTGAGACAGGCAGAGTGGTGTAACAATGTGGGAGTGTGAGTGAAAGTGAAAGTGTGAGTGTGTGTGTATGACTGTGGTTGTGTGGGTAGAAGAAGAAACATTTTGCTAGCCTTGTGCAGAAATCTGTAATACTCATTCATAGTGAACAGGGGTTGATTAGTACAACTCACTTGTAATGTTGCTGTCAATTGTGCGTTCATCAGGGCTGGAAATGATTGGACTACAACCAGGATTGCACTCACTCAGAATTCCTGTTACATAGCACAGCAACATTCCTCAACTGAGATTTTTTTTTCTTTAAATGGTCTTGGCACAACTGTTAAACTTGTAAATTCAGACCAGCAGCATTCTTAATTAGCAGAAGAGCTGTTTCTTTGATATTGAGGTGGAGGTCAAATCCATCTTTTCTCGAGGGATATACATGTTTTGAGCTATGGCTAATCATGCCTTCTCTCCCCCTCTTGGGAGTGATGCTCACAGGACTGGATGAAATGCTGCTATTTGTGCAGTCCAGCGGCAGTTTGGTGACTGATCACCTCTGTAGTTATTGATCACTGAGACCAGAGACTTGATGCAGTCAGTTTCATAACTCTCTAACATATGAGTTGTTTTCATAAAAGAGCGACAGGGAGATCCAGCATGTGGCGGTGAGAGTGAGATTTTGCTTTGCTCCATTTACACTTTAAAATCATGCAGCAATGTATCCAAAATTAGGATGCAAGACAATGAGGGAACAAACCATTGTTATGATTTCTGAATGGATCCCACTGTTGTTGGGAGCTTTTGTCAACAAGTGGGAGGTTGATGCAAGTATACAAATTTGGATGGATGGTGGTAGTGAACCCACCTCTGGGCCAGAAAATTTGGATTCACCTTTCCTGGAGGTGTGCCAGAACATGTCCAAACAGGTTGATTATCCCTACCACCCCAATGGTGATTCAAGTTGAGTTGTGACTGCTGGAAACAAGAATTCAAAAGATTCTTAGCTGGGTTTGGAGAAAGCTGGATGAAGTTTGGAAAAGATTTTTGTGGCATTCACTTGTGGATTTGATCCTCATAGAAATCCAAATATAATGTTTCTTTTGTTGTAAGACGTCTGCTGTAAATGCCTGTGCTACTGGAGGCAGAGTGCTATCTTTTCTGGCAAATAAATGTGCTTTGCAAGTGGGATCCCAATGGAGAGTCAGAAGTGGGTGAAGGCAACTAAGTGGAACTACAAATTTATTTTAATATGTCAAGGACTGGGCCCAGGCCAAATACTGAAGGAATTTAAGACTCCCTATGTACTGTAAATCGATGTATCAATCAAATCACTGCCACTGAAGTCCATTACATTTGGATTCAGTAAGTTCTCAGTTCTCCACTACTTAATCAGTATTCTGGCCCTTCGAACAGCAAGCACAGATGCTAACATTTATTCTATGCTTGAGATGATCTAAGCCCTAACTCCAAGGAAGGAATAAATGTTTGCATCTGTGCTTAAAAACTATTTAGCTTAAATTTTGGTATCAGCTGTGAGGCAGACACTTCTTGCAGATTGTGAATGCTGCCATTGAACAGAAAACCAAAAGGAGAGAAAAAAACCCCAACATTTTACTTATGGTATTTAGAAATAGCCAGAATTGCCCAATATTTTGTTTTGAATTGATGACTAATTCCTACCGTCTGATGGAAGTCATTTTGTAAAAATCAGAAGTACTTTTCTCTAGGCCAAGACCAATTGTAGAACTGCTAAGAAGTTGAAATTGACTAACTTGCTAAAAACATCAAGTTTTGGAAGCAAATTACTTTCAGCAAAAGGGGGAAAAGGTTGGAATTTACTCATGGCAGAGCAGATCCAGATTCTACACAATGCTGTTACACATACTCCTGACAACAATTCTATATTTGAAATAGTGATGGTGAAGAATTATTTTATCCACTGCATTATAATTCAATTTTGGCATTAAAATCAAAATATACAGTCATAAACTCAATCAGCAGTCTGTAAAACAATTAACAATACAATAGAATGTCCACAAAGTGTTTCCCACAAATTATTAAGCTATCAATACATTGTCATAGGCAGAAATTAATTGTTTCTGAAAGAGGTAAATATATTATAGCACAATAAAACATACAGTACAAGCTAATTAAAGGACATGTCTAGTTTGTCACAGATTATCACCAGTTGAGAGATATATTGTGCTCTATTTAAGGTTAGAATGAAGAGGCTGCGGACCAATACAGCAAACAGGGCAGAAGCTGAGTGGCAGAAATTTTTAAGGGAGAGTGGTAGAAGTAGTCATCCAGTCAGATGATAACAACATACTCAGGACTTCCTCCTGCCACTTAAAGTTGCCTGTAAACATTGGGCAGAGGAGTCATCACAGCAAAGGAAACACTACACTGCTGCCTCACTCAGTAGCCAAAACAGGTGCAATTCTATCGCCTGCACCCACATTAACCTTTTCCTTCAATCTCCAGAAACAAAACACCCATCAATACTACTGAAAGGAACAAAAGTCACACCTCAACATATGAGGAAAGTTTATAATGCACCACTAAGTTGAGCTTTTATCACCCAGAGATAGACATATGAAGAGGCTAGAGGCCAGACACAGGTTCATTACAGAATTCAAGATCATACTAGCAGATGTGCTTTTTAACAACCTCAAAATAGTCAAAGCAACTTGAAAAAAAAAGAGCTTTCTCCTTAGGTTTCAGTGAGAAACTGTATATGGAGGGACAGAGACAGAAATGGAAAGCATCACATCTGGTGAATGTCCAGAAATTCACTGAGAGGAAACACTTCTGACTTTGTCATTTGAATAAGAAATTTCAAAGTGAAGAGAGAAGTGGTACTATACAGGAGTTGAGTGTCTGTAAAGGATATTGCTGGGAAAAAATAGCTGAATCTTTCTTTTTGCTAGTTATAAGATCTTTCCAAAGTGGCATTTAGTTTTATTTTTATCTATCCTTTCATCTCACAAATTCATGTTAAATGTACATTAGTAGCCTCTTTTAAAAACTCAGTGACTGACCACCATAGTAACCAAATTACAAAACTAAAACATACAGTTCATCAAGCCAGGTTAAACCGTGGAATATGACTTGTCCAGTGTTACTATCAGTTGGGCTCATAATATAGTGTCCATTTATGAAAAGTTTATAGGAAGTGGTATTTTGGAAAAGTGGTATAAAGATAGTAGTTACATTTGTGAAAGCATTTTCTAAAAAACATAAAAACAAGGTCAGAGATCCTTCCATAACCTTTTTAAGTATTTGTCTATGGTGCTTTTGGAAAGATGTTTATACTGCTGGGTTTACAACAAGTAGGGTAAACATATGAACTTGTTTTGAGTTCAGTTCAGAGAAGATAGGAAGAATATGATTTTTGAAAAATTTAGTTCAGAAGCAAGCTTAGTTCTGTTCAGGAGATACCAGTAGTGAGTTTAGAACTAAGTTTAGTTTCTGTCCTAGGACTGTTCAGGGAATATGTTACCTTAACAGAAGGTTTGTGAAACTTCCAAGCCAGAAGGTCTTATTAGAAACCTTCAGCTTATTAGAACTGAGAAAGTTTGGTACATCACATTTGTGGAAAAATTCAGGTCAATTGATTTGGAAAGCACTGATCAAATTGTCTCCACAGACCAAGGCCAAGGAACTGCCAGCAGTCAATTAACTGTAACACTAACAAGTTGAGACAAGGGCTATAGTTACTCTGGTCTTGAGTCTCTCCAAAGGATAGTGTTAGGAAACAGCTTAAAATCTTGTTGTGCTGTTTGTTTTGAGATCCATTTTAGCTTGGAATATTTATCATTTCTCATGCACAATTAACTTCTGCTTTAAACAAAGTCTGCAGCCTCTATCAAGCTGTGCTTTTGGAATCTGATTTTACCAGTAGTATAATCAGCTGACATCGTAACAGCATTAACATTGGATTTGAGCAGCATTCTACATTTAATACTGTTAACATTCTTCTTAAGTACCTGACAATGGTCGATTCTTGCAGACCTGTGACCTCTTGGATCTATTCTGGCCACTGACATGGGTTGAAATGCCACTAAGAAATAAAGGTTAAGTACAAGAATGATTATCTGGTCAGAATCAACAAAAGCAGTTTCATTCTAATCTTTGCAAATTAGACAGGCTTGAAGAAATTAAGTCCTTACATTCATTATTATATTCAGATTATTTATCATGACAATTGCTGAGAGGTTTACTTACTTGAAACATCTGCTCCTAGTATCTAGGAATATTAAATTTCAGTATTCTTGAAATGAAAACTGAACCGATACAATGGGTGGAATCAGAGGTGCTTTGATTTGCCTCACCTCTGCTCATTCCAGACCAGGAGCATATGGCATTTTTTACAGTTAAAACCATCACTTTCTTAATGTACCAGTTCCTTTAGCCTACAAGTATTTTCAGAATGAAGTTTCCAAGAGATCTTCCAGAAAGGAGCACACAATACACAATTGTATTTTTCTTGGCAAATGAAAAGCTATCACTATCAAGAGATGTGAAAAACACCAGCATTGTCAGGAAAGTAAATGTATTTCAACATAATAGCAGCTTAACTAGGGTGTATTTTACAATGGAAAACTTCTCAATCGAAGTGGCAAAGGTTCCCAACATCATGTGCTACTCAACAGTTTTCATCAGTTCTACAGGTAATCCAACCTGGTGGCATTTACAGAATTCTGCTATTACGAGAGTCCGAGTTGTAAAGTGAAAGCAATAAAAGGCTTAAATATATATGTGACATGTATCCAGCTGCACAAACACTAATCATAATACTGCATATCAATCTATATTGTGCATATGGGCTCTGACTTAATAAGCAAAAGAGGACACATTTAAAGTGACTAAAAGGTGACATGAGAAAATATTTTTAAAGTAGTGAATGCATTGTCTCAAAGAGTGGTAGAGGTAGAGGCAGATTTGATCACGGCATTCAAAAGGGAGACAGATAGTGCTTGAAGGTGGAAAAATCTGCAAGGTGATAGGGAAAGGGCTGAGGAGTGAGTGGCTAAATTGCTCTTACAAAGGATTGTCATGGATGCGATGAATCTGCTTCTATATTGCAACCTCCATATGAACCTATACTTGATAATTTGCAATGTACGATAGGATAGGTACAATTTTCCAATTATTTCTGTTACCTGCGATTTTAGCTTTTTAAAAAAGAGACACATACGGTCAGAAGTGGGGATGTTCGCTAATGATTGTGCAATGTTCAGCACTATTTCAGTGAGAAACTGTATATGAAGGGACAGAGACAGAAATGAAAAGCATTACATCTGGTGAATGTGCAGAAATTCACTGAGAGGAAACGCTTCTGATTTTATCATTTGAATAAGAAATTTCAAAGCACTATTCGCTACTCCTCAGATACTGAAGTAGGCCATGTTCAAATGCAACAAGATCTGGACAATATCCAGGCTTATGCTGCCAAGTGGCAAGTAACATTCATGCCACAGAAATGCCAGGCAATGACTATAGCCAATAAGAGACAATCTAACCACTGCCCTTTGACAACAATGGTGTTACCATCATTGAATCCATCACGACCTACATCCTAGGGGTTACCACTGACCAGAAACTCAAAGGGACTCACCATAAAAATACCGTGGCTACAACAGCAGGTCACAGCCTTGGAATATTGTGGCAAATAACCTACCTCCTGACTCCCAAAGCCTGTTCACCACATACAAGGCCCAAGTCAGGAGTGTGATGGAATACTCCTTACTTTGCCTGGATGAGTGCAGCTCGAACGACATTCAAGAAGCTTGACACCATCCAGAACAACGCAGCCCGCTTGATTGAAACCACATCCACAAACATCAGTTCCTCCACTACTGATACTTGGTAATAGCTGTGTATACCACCTACAAGATGCACTGCACAAATTCACTATAGAACCTTAGACAACTTACTAACCGATGACCACATCCATTTAGAAAGACAAGGGTGGCAAATACATGGAAACACCACTATCAGCAAGATCTCTCCAAGTTACCCACCATTCTGGCTTGGAAATGTATTGTTGTTCTTACACTGTTACTAGGTCAAAATCCTGGAATTCTCTTCCTTATGGCATTGTGGGTCCACCGACAGCCCATGGATTGCAGCAGTTCAAGAAGGCAGCTCACCACCACCTTCTCAAGAGAAGCTAAGGACAGGCAATAATTGCTGGCTAGCCATGTCCCAGGAATGAATAAAAAAGATTTCAAACTCCAAAAGAAAATAAATTATCATCGACATTTCCATTACATTTCCTTGTCTCTGCTACTGAGCTTTTGGCAATCCTTGCAGCTAAGTAGTAATTGTTGCAGGAAGAAAATTAAGAAAATTGTGCTACTTGCTCATAACATTGGAGTCTATAGAATTCTTCTAGCTATAGCTAGTGATTAATGTTCAAAAGGTGGATATCATAGTCACAAGTTATGTTGTGGATATGTTGCCAAGGAAGCTCTTGGTTTTAAATACATTCTAAATTTTGTGCAAAACTCCACAGTGCCCTATAAACAGGATTCACTCCACATTTCAAATGAAGTTCTTGGTGGCAATCAGCCAGGATGTAAGTTAGCTGCACAGCAAGTTCAAGAGGCTGAACAACCTACTCTTGCTACTATTTGGTGGATAGGCACTTACCATTAAGGGTAATTTATCTCAAGAAATACATATTTTATTTCTACATGCCAAAATTACTAACGTTACTGGATCACTACTGGAATACTACAGCTCCCTCACTGACGAAACAGTATATTCTCCAAACTAGTTTACAAACTATGCCAGCAGCATTACATTAAAGATATGTATCAAAAACATTGTATTAGCTAATCTTAACTTTATGCAGCAATTAACACCAGCTTCATGGTCCAGGAGTATTCATTTAAAAAACGCTTGTAGGAGCCTTGAACATAATCTCAAAATTAAAGACAGTTATGAATTCCATCTGCTGCTGACAGACCTTAAAGATCGTCTCTTCCGCCGTGCTGTCGGCCGGGTGGCAGTGGCTGGTGGATTTCTGGCAGTGAACATCTGTGGCTGCCCCAACCTGCAAAAAGAAAATAAAGAACTTCATTGAGAAAAATGGGAAAAATAAAGACCTTGAAATAGATGACCCAGCCATTCTTTTAGCCAGGAAACAAGTCCAGAATGGCACAAGGCCAAATTTTAAAAAATAGTCATGAAAAATTATTGCTGCAACTTTTTCTCTTTCTTTGAAGGTAGCATTTAGTCATTAATTAGTTCCAATTGCTCAGAGAAATACATTTCTCGGTCAGTGTTTTTACAAGGAATGACTGTGGCAAACATTAAGGATGGGGAGCAAATGGAAATCTCTCCAACAAGATTCCTTCTCAGAATACTAAGAGAACCTAGAGAAGGGTATTGACCAATATCTGAATGCCTGAAAAAAAAAACAGGTTTGGTGCACTTGCATTTGGCATCATGTTCTTTTTTTGACATTGCCATGAGCAGTTTTTAAATCTAACCAGGTAAGGCCTCAATTCCCAATACGACTAAAGATTTCAAAAATTCAGAAACAATAAGGCATTTTAACCATAGGTAATGCCTTGAAACAGAAATGGAGGAAAACCAAAGAAAAGCAAGAGAGAACTGACAGGGCACGCTTGCAAAGGCAAGTTATAAACTCAACAGGACACTGCGTTGTGATTTTTTTTCCTCATTCAGTGGCATTCAATGATATATTTAGACAATACAATATGAATAACAAATTCAAAAGAGTAAAGAAATGTTAATCAAGTTAGACAAACCTCTGCAAAATTAAATTCTTGGCCTGCGGGAAAGTGTTGTGGCTCACAGTGATTTCTGATCTCTGAACATCTGAAGGGCCAATAGTTATGGTTGCATTTAAGCAAGCGTGATCACCCGCATCTGTGGTTTCAAAGGTTTCATTCAAATTTGGACATTTGGATGTCATAGAAGTACACGTGGCCACAGGGAAATTACAGCTTTTGGGAGTGACGGTGACAGGTATAATCCGTTTATTGGTAACAGTTAGTGGACAGTTTCTCTTGATACGTTGTTGGACTGAGTTCATAAAGTTAATTCCTTCGTTGCCAAGGGTATTACTCCGATTTGAAAAAGGTTGGTTCTCCTTTGTGCACACTTTTGGCAAAATGGTCAGTGGGTCAGTTCTGGTCCTCATGCGTTTTCTACGTAATTCAGACGTTGCAGGATTACATGAAATTGTCTCATCTTTCATTCGTCTTTTCTTTAAAGGTGATGATCGCACCCGCTGGGGAGATTTGGCTGGTGACCTAAGCTCTGTTAGGCACCGTTTTGTAGGTAGTCTTTTCCGTGTGCCGGTCTTTAACAGAGCCTGTTCAGTTGGTTGTGAAGTCATTTCTTCTTTTTTAGGTGAACCTGAAAGTCATTAGAACAAAAGCCTTAGCATTAAAAAAAATCCAAAGGTGATTCGGTTTCACTTCAATAATGTTTGGGCCAGAAGGTTTGTGAAGGCTACAGCCCATACCACTGAAGGGAAATATCAGTAGTGGGATTCAAATTCAAGATTTTGGGTTGCTGATTAGTTTATAGAATCCTACAGATCATAGAATTCTTACAGCGTGGAAACAGACCATTCGGCCTGACAAACCCACATCGACCCTCCAAAGAGCATCTCATCCAGACCTACCTGAACGCTGCATTTCCCATGGCTAACCCACTTAGCCTGCACATGTCTGGACACTGTGGGCAATTTAGCATGGCTAATCCAGCTAACCTGCACATCTTTGGACTGTGGGAGGAAACCGGAGCACCAGGAGGAAACCCATGCAGATACAGGGAAAATGTGCAAACTCCACAGACAGTTGGTTGAGGTTGGAAGGTTGGAATCAAACCTGGGTCCATGGCGCTGTGAAGCAGCAGTGCTAACCAGTGAGCCACCGTGCTGCCACTGTTCAGTTAGATGGTTACCTATACTGCTTTTGATGTTTTATCTGGAACTCTAATACTCTAGTTGTATAATGAAACAAAACAGAGGAAGGTATTTCATACAGCAATAATTTATATAGCAACTTTAATATTATGGAATCTGTCTTGCTTCGCAGGGGCATTATAAATCCAAGTATGACACTGAGCCACTTAAATTAAATTATTAGGTCGGATGGTCACGAACTTAATTCAAACAGATAGGTTTTAAGGAATGTGTTAGTGGAAGAAATTGAGGTAGACAGATGGAAAGATGAGGGAGAATATTCCAAAGCTTGACACTTCATCAACTGAAAGCAGTCATGAAAGGTGGAACAATTACGATTGAAAATGCACACAAGGCCCGAATTAGCAGAATGCAACCATATCTGATGGTTGTGAAGCTGGAGGAGATTGCAGAGATATTAAGACTGTTCTTTCCCATTCAATCAAATCATGGATCACTTGTTTTACAATTCGATTCCATTTCTCTCTTAACTAATGCAATCTACCAATTCAAAATTTCAACGGACAATACATCCAGAGGTTTTGAGAAGGTTCCAGATTTACACCATCTTTTGTAGGAAAAAAAAAGTCTACATAGTCTAGCTCCAGTTTTAATATTAGGTCCCCTTATATGCTACCAGTGGAAATAGTTTCTTTCTAAGGGAGATTCAAAGAATAACCTCTATTCAGCAACTTTCTTTACAATTTTCAAAAATATTTAAGATCATTCAGATATATCAAAAAATTGGTAAAACTCAATAATCCATAAAGTGGATCTACAAAGTAATTATATTGAATTAATAATAATGTAACAAACATGAGAACTTTTTGTTCCTTCTGCCACTTCTCCAAATAGAGCATACCCATGGTCAACATTTTTTTAACCTATGTCCAAGTTCCCCTGAGAAGGTGCTGGCAAATCGTTTTCTTGAATACATTTTCTGTTTTACTGGGCCATTTCAGAGGTTAAGAGTCAAACATATTTTTGAAAACATAAGGAAAATAGGATGAGGGTGACAAATTTCCTTCCCCCTAGAAAACATCTCATTATAGAGCATGAGATAACAAGGTGTAGAGCTGGATGAACACAGCAGGCCAAGCAGCACCAGAAAAGCTGACGTTTCGGGCCTAGACCAGCATCTGCAGTTCCTACTATCTCATTATAGAGTGTGCTTGCTTTCAATAAAACCAAAGAGGCATTTTTTTTTTAAAGTCATCTGTCTGTACATTACAGTTTTAGGTGAAGTCAATACTTCTCAAGACCACACAGCAGGCTACGCAGATTACTCAAAGGGTTAACATATTTTTGGTGTTATACAGAATCAGTTATACTGGAATGTATCTAATAAGTGAATATGAGATAAGAGATTTTGTGGTTAGGTATGACATCCAAAGCTCCCAATTCCTTTCCAAAATCAAATAGTTAGACACCATTTTGTCTGGGCTTTACATATAAAGGATGACTGAGGAACTGGAGAGCTGTCAGCATCAATGAGCCTGTAACCTCGCAGGATTTGGCTCCTTCTGGATAAGAGAAATTATTATATTTATATTTAGTTGATGGTTATTACATGAAGCTGTGGTTGATTTTGTGGTATCACTTGGAGTCCTAGAAGTCTGAAGCAACCCATACGAGTTCATTATGCAATTATTATTGCCTAAGGATATTTGTGGTTGTACATTCTCGTTTGCTGGCAAAATACAAAAACATTTTCAGCCCATTGCCCTCTAGGCTGAACTGTGCCTTCTGCACAATACATTCTGTTAAAGCCACATAAAGACCTTCAATAATGCGGTTTGTGGTCGCCTTGAAGTGCTGATAACAAAATTCTCTAGCACTTTAGTCAGTAAATACCAAATTGCATTGTCAGTATCTGATGATGTATAGAGAACTTAAAATATAATTAACCACCATGAAGGCTGGATTTGTGAAAAATTGCTAATAAATTGTGAGTAGTGATTTTCTTGATTCTGCAGCTAAAATACAACCTGCTAGCTACTTACCCATGAAGCAGCACACTGCTCATGTGGTTGCAGAGGGAAGAAAAGTAATTGAAGAAAAGCAAATATCTAAAACTGCAGTACTTCAGGATTAGTTACAGAAGGATGTCATTCATTCCATCAAGTCCATGCTGGCTGTGAAGAAATCCAGTAAATCCCACTCCATTGTTTGATTTCCATAGCTCCATACAGGCTTGTTTCCCTCAAGAGTCCAACCAATTTCCTTTTGAAATCATTGATATTTTTCCACTTCCATCAATTTTGTGGGCAATGAGTTCCAGGTCATTATCACATTGCCTAAAAAACGCTCCTCCTCTTGTTCCCCCTGTATCTCAAATGGATGTCCCCTTGTGCTTACACTATCAGGTACTGGTGACAACTTTTCTTTGTCTACCTTATCGAAACCTACCACAGTTTGTAGATTTTTTAAAAAATCAACCTGTTCAAACACATCTAGGGTAGGTGGTAATAGAAGCCAAATCTCCCAGCCCAGAGGTAGGGACACTATCAATGCAATGCAACAGCCTACTACAATCTTGTACACTTCTACCCAATCTCCACTTTGCTTTTATAACCTAACTTTGTCAATAAGATCAGCCAGATTTTTAACCTCTTAAAACAGATTGGAATAAAAGAATGGAATCCCTATGGTGTGGAAGCAAGCCATTAGGCCCATCGAGTCCATACTGACCCTCCGAAGAGCATCTCTCACATGCCCACCCTCCTATTCTATCCCTGTAACCCTGCATTTCCCACGACTAACTCACCTAACCTGCACATGCCTGGACACTATGGGCAATTTAGCATGGCCAATCCACCTAATCTCTACATCTTTGGACTGAGAGAGGAAACCGGAGCACCCAGAGGGAACTCGCACAAATACGGAGAGAATATACAAACTCCACACAGATAGTCGCATGTGGGTGGTATCGAACCTAGGTCCCAGGTGCTATGAGCAGCAGTGCTAACCACTGAGCCATCGTGCCACCCCCGTGCTGCAGGTTTCCTGTTCGTGATGGAATATCAAGTTATTGCAAATTAAAGTTGACTTTTTAAAAAAGACAACAAGTGGTTGATCTACATCATCATTTAATCACGGGTGGCAAGTTAAGAATCTATTCAAATTACACCAGGACACTAGCGAAAACACAGCCCCACTGAAAATGAAAATTGGTACCCGCTTCCCACTTCCCCAATGCTGTTTGGCTTTGCAAGTTTTCAATTGTTGCATAACCAAGTCATTCAAATCCGTCCTCTCTGGGCTTCTTAGCTACTTTGAGTGCACCTGGCATTGGGAAAGCTCCTGTGTAGATTGTTAAACACATCATTAGAACTAAAAGAGCCACAGCTCACAGGAATAACACAGGCTTTCTGTGAGAAAGGGTCAACACATAATTAATAGATTGTTGAAAGAAAAGGTGGTTTACAGCCTTCACTTGCTTACTGAACTGTTATGATCTAACAATGCTGCATGTTTTTCAGAAGCATTTTACTTCTTTGACATTTCTTTCTCAGATTGCACAATATTTTTAACTAAAGTCCCAATTGTTTTCACCTTTTAGCATGAGAGCATAATAGCCAGATAAACTGAATATCGGCCAAATCTCAGCGGTCACACTCACCCAAATCAAAATAATTTGTGTTTATTCTTCCTCAATTCAATGACTTGGTCACAAAGTCCAGTGCTGTGCATCACATTATCGAGGTGCCATCTTTCAAATCTGATATTAAATCAAGGGCTCCGCAATGGAAGTAAAAGATTCTACATCTACTAAAAGAGCATGGAAGTTCTGCCAACTTCACTCAAGTAGATTATGTGGTCATTACCACATTTTCATCTGTGGGCCTTTGCTGTGTACAAACAAATAGGTTGCCTGCCATATTTCCTTTGCTTCATTAACTACATCTCAAAAACACTTAATTGGCTGTAAAGCACTTTGGAATGTACTGAAGCCATGGACAATCCTTTATAAATGCAAATTTTAGATCTCTTTAGGGAGGAAGCAACTAAAAAGACATTTACAATTATTGATAAGCTTCAAAAACAGAAATTGCTGATTAAGGTCAACAGGTCTGGCAGCATCCATGGAGAAAAATCGATTTAATGTTTCAGGTTGAGTGACCTTTCCTCAGAACTCAGTTCTGAAGAGTCATTCAACCCAAATGCTAACTCTGATTTCTTTCCATAGTTGCTGCCAGACCTGCTGAGCTTTTGTTTTTGAGCTTTGTTTCCGATTTATAGCATCTGCAGTTCTTTCAGTTTTTATTTATAAGCCTCAACTTTTCTTCTTAAACTTTGATGAAATGAGGGCATTGCTAGCAATGCCAATATTTGCTGCGTATCCCTATTTGCTCTTGAATTGAGTGGCTTGCAAGGAGGCTATTTCAGAGACAACCTTGAAGTCACACGTAGGCCAGATGAGGTGGCCAGACGAGGTAAGAATGGC